TGCTCATTATTTCAAAACTATGGGAAGCAAGGTATTTTTTATATGTTTATGATTAATGTTAATTCTTTAAAGAATGAATGTTGATTTGAACAAACAAAAAAAAGACTCTTAAAAATACGAATTAGGGTTTCGATGTTGGAGTTTAATTATATGTGATTAAGGTTCCAATGCTGGAGGCTAGTTGTATTGGATTAGATGATTCTTAAATAATGTATTTATTATTAGCACGTACTGTAGGTTAAATTGAATTTGTGTCTAATAAAACTCATTCTTTAAGAATGTATTTATTTTTTTACCATATACTGTATGTTCAAGGGATTTTATGTGAAACTGGACACATTCTTTAAGAATATATTTAGTTTTACCATGTACTGTAAGTTCAATAAATTTTATGTGCAACCAAACACATTCTTTAAGAATTATTATGTACTAATAATCTAATTTTTGTAAGAATCATTTATTATGTTTATAAAAAAAATTCACAACAATAAGAATAAAAGATTTTTATTTACATGTTTTAAATTTACATGTTAGTGTTTGTTACTAATCAGATTCTTAGGTAATTCACAGTCTTTAAGAATGTATCATACTCTTCAAGAATATGAAGACAACGATCAGAAGCAGTAGGAGAATATGATGAATGGTACTCTCTGATAAAGAATCCTTATCATTATGTTCTTCCAGAGTGCACATTCTTTTCATATTCTTTTAGAATGGTCATTATGTCGAAATTCATACCAAGAATGGCTTATTTACTGTATATTCTTTAAAATTATGATATATTGTTTAAAATTTGATTCTATGTAAAATGAATATTCCATATTCTTCAAGAACTCCCATTTGATGTTATAGCTTTGGTTGTATAAAATGAATATTGCATTTTCGTCAAGAATATGTTAGATAATAGTCATGAATCATTCTTAAAAATGAAATTAACTTCATGTATGAAACTAGTTTTATATACTTACGTTTCTAAAACAAAATGATGTAATTATTCATGTTTAATTTTGTAAAATAGGATAAATGAGTATTTAATAACAATCCTATTAAATTATGCAATAGATAAGTAATCTTTCTTTTTTAAATATAGGTTACTTGACTAAAATATTATAATATTTAATAAGTACAGTTATACAGTGCATATTATCATATGTTAATCATATGTACCGTCATATTATACCCATTTATTTATTTATTCCAGTTGATAATAAATGGTCATAATTCACGTAATATTTATAGTTCATATTTAATTCTAGCTCTATATAAACTTATGATTATATATCATCTTAAATTGTGATTTAAAAACATTACAGACATGCTATAACTCATAAAACTTAAAGTTTGTTTCTACACAATCTCATGTCTCATATCATTTAGAACCATAATAAAAGTTGGTTTATCTTATACCGAAATTTGTTCATACCATTTACCTAAGAGAAATTAAATATTTTGATATATTTTGTTCATACTCATTTTCTTATTTATATAAAATAATGATATACAAAATCTATTAACTTGTTTTTGTTAATGGTATATCTTTTGACATTTATATTGATCTAGCAAGATATAGTAATATATATCAAAATAAAATATCTAGAAGTGTCTTTACCAAATTGAAGCAAGTTTAAATATTTAATCAAACACCTATTTTTGACAACTAAAATAAAAACAAATTAAATTATTTAAATATAGTTATTCTACCTATTTAGGATGGGTGTATATATATATATATATATATATATATATATATATATATATATATATATATATATATATATATATATATATATATATATATATATATATATATATACTTGGTGCGAATGACTTTAACTGAGAAGTTAATTTACATTTTTTTTTTTTTTTTTGACAATTTAGCTCTACAAATTTAAAGCTATTACAAATGTTGATAAACTTTTTTATATATTATAAATCACTTTCATTTATGAAACAAAGAAAGTACAAATAATGGGTAGACCCACGTGTCATTATTGATCTATGTCAAAACCGGACATAAATACATTTCCACTTGCATCAATTTAATAATAATCATTCAAGAAAAATGAAATGTGAGCATATAATAATAAAAATACCAAAATAGTTTTATTTTAAATTATAAAATTTATGCAAATAATATATACACATATATGTTATTATAGAGTTACATTATATATATATATATATATATATATATATATATATATATATATATATATATATATATATATATATATATATATATATATATATATATGGAAAAAGTGAATATACCCTTAAGAGTATATAAGCTTAGGTATCCAAACTCACCATAATATGTTGTTCTGTTTGATATATTTATTATAATGTTCTTCAACCTCAATCCTTAACTTGATTTACTTTAAATATTTTCAAAATTTTATTATTATCTTACTCTTACATCACATCTTTTTGACGAACATCAATTAGGTTCTATATATTATAGTTGAAAGTGAAAATTATGTAAGAGGAAAATAAATGTGAAATTTATAAAAATCTTTGAATGAAATCAAGTTAGAAGTTAAATTATAAGAACATTAGACAATTACAATGTATATATATGATACAAAACGACGTAGTATGGTGAGTTTGGGTACGTAAGCTTATATACCCTTAAGGGTATATTCACTTTTCCCTATATATATATATATATATATATATATATATATATATATATATATATATATATATATATATATATATATATATATATATTTGACATGTTTACAATACAAAATGATGGTGAAATGTATACGTTATTCACTATCCAAAAATCCTTATGATATAAAACTAAAAATATATTTGGACGCACAATACCAATGAGAAAACTTTGGATATAGTCATGTATTCACATTATGCACACATAATATATATCAACGACGAATTATAACAATTTATTGAATAAAGTACTAAAAATGGATATGTAAATATTCATGTTATTCACGTAATGCACACATATGCCACATTTCTTCTATTAATAGTAATTTTATAAAAATATATTTTTTTTAAATTTAACATGTTTATGATCTTTAATTTATTATGATTTAAAAAATATTATATGATCCATAATATTAATATATTATTTAAAATGTTATAATCCAAAATATTGTGGCTCCACATAATAATGAATGACAGTGTTAAGAAAAACATTATCGTATGCAAATTTCTATGTTCCGTAATTTTTATATATTTATTTTTACAGTTTGTCTAATATATTTTTTTAACATGTTATCATGAATCTTCTAATTATTTATTAGTCTTTTTATTAAACCGGTTTTGTAATTTTAAATAGGCAGGACACCAACATTGGTGGTAACAAAAACAAATAATTGAAAAGGTGGAGGGGCAACGATTTTATACCAGGTATGCTTCAAATCATATCAGTTGCATTATTGACAATAAGATTATCGTTTCACGTCTTATTCTTTTCTAAAAGTTATTTTGGATACTTTATCATTAAAAAAAAAAAACAAAACTAACTTTAAAAAATGTCAAATTAAATTATTCATTTTTTTTTACGGAAAAGAGGGAGAACATGACATTAGACATTGATAGAATAATCGCAAAAGCAGGGTGACCTAATTCTAAAGTAGCTCAGTTTCTCGTCCACGAGATATTCTCAATTTGATATCTCGTGTATAAAACCTTCATCTCGCGTAAAACAATTAATGATGGCAATTTCGTAAATAAGAGCAAAGACCCGACCCGTTTGCATATACATCTCCCGTCTTGATGACATCTTGTCGTCTTTTAAAACGGGATCAAGGATACAAAAAGAAATTTTAAAATTCAAACTAAAATAGGATGTTATCTGGTGTGTAAGAGCTACACGTTTCATTAAATCTCAGCCGTCCGATCATCTCATGTAACAATAAGAGTGGGACACACATTAAGTGAACGGATAAGATTTTGGCGATCATGTACTTCTAGGTCAAGCCAAGCTGAAGTACAGCTGTCAGCGCGTGGTTCTGAGCCGATGAACCAAGACAATTGTAAGCCGGCTAAGTGGGACCCATATCTAGTTAACTTATCACTTTTCAATTTTCTCTTATCAATAAGTGATGTGATAGATGGAGTGATAAGTAGGTTAACTTATCATCCTTCTTCTATAAAAATCGCCATTTCTGCAACGAATATCGTATTTTTATTTTCTCCCCGCGATAGGATAGAGAGAGAAAGTGAGGAGGAGAAAAAACATATGTATGTATATAGAGGGCTAAGAGCTGACCCATATATATATATAGAGAGAAAGTAGAGAGAGAAATCTCTGTAATTTTTCATCGACCTCGACTTCTTCGTGTTCTTCATCTCTCTACTATCATCGATCGATCTTGCTAAGGTGTTTTCCTGAGCTCTTTTGTGTGTGTGTTTTTTTTGCTTCAAAAATCGTTTTTTTTTTCTCTCTATGGATATGTATAATTATATTTCTTGACTTGCTTTACTTTTGCCATTTGTGAACTACTTTTGCTTTCTTTCGCATCTTCAATTTCCAGTGGTTTAAAGCTGCTTTTTATTTCTCTGATCCGCGAAAAAAATCTTTAAATTTATTTTCTGTTCTAAAAATAATAAATATATTAAAGAAGATTCAAAACTTTTGTTAGGATTATTGTTCATATATGTCGGTGCATGCTCATCTTGTCTGAACCATAAATGAAAACTGTGTTTGTTCGGCTAGATTTGAAGGTCAAGTTTCTAGCGATCTAGTTTTTTTTGGGTCTGGGTTTTCTAATATTTTGATTTTACTTTTTTGTTTCAAGTTCCCAAGTTTTTATTTAATCTTATATTAAATAAATTGATTTTGGGTATTTCCTTTTTACTGTTTACCTGAAGTTAATGGTAGCTCACCCTTTCTACTTTTAATTTAAAAAAAAAAAAAAAAAAAAAAAAAAAAAAAAAAAATTACAGTATTATTTACAGATGTATTTGGGGTTTTACAGATCTGAAGGGTTGTAATCGTTGTTGGGAGATAGGGACCAGGAATTACAATGTCGTCTCTGAGTAGGGAGCTTGTGTTCTTGATCTTACAGTTTCTTGATGAAGAAAAATTTAAAGAGACAGTTCACAAGTAAGTTTGTTCATGAATTGGGGTTTTAGGTTTTTTCTGTTGTTCAAATGATTTTAGAATTAGTGTAATGATTTTGTGGTAGGCTTGAGCAAGAATCGGGATTTTTCTTTAACATGAAGTATTTTGAAGATGAAGTTCATAATGGGAATTGGGATGAAGTTGAGAAGTATCTGTCTGGATTTACTAAAGTGGATGACAATCGTTACTCAATGAAGATCTTTTTTGAAATTAGGAAACAAAAGTATCTTGAAGCATTGGATAAGTAAGCAAAAAGCCCTTGAATTTATCCAAGTAAATTTGGAAATTTTCATATTTAATTAATGAAAATTGAAAAATGTACTTCAATTTGTATGTTCATAGGCATGATCGGTCCAAAGCAGTGGAAATCCTAGTAAAGGATCTTAAAGTGTTTGCATCATTTAATGAAGAGCTTTTCAAGGAGATTACTCAGTTATTGACTTTGGAGAATTTTAGGTATTTATCTCTTTATGTAATGGTAGAGGGAATGGAATGGAGAATGTGATTTCCATAACATGTTTATAATCATGTATTGATTTTTAGGGAAAACGAACAACTTTCTAAATATGGTGACACGAAATCAGCTAGGGCTATAATGTTGGTTGAGCTCAAGAAACTTATCGAAGCAAATCCTTTGTTTCGTGACAAATTGCAGTTTCCTAACCTTAAAAATTCCAGACTACGGACTCTCATAAACCAAAGGTGAAATTTTTTGTTCACCACATTTTTGCATTTGCATTTGCATTATAATTAATAATAATTAATAATAATTTGATCATCTTGCAGCTTGAATTGGCAACACCAACTTTGTAAAAACCCAAGGCCAAATCCGGATATCAAGACTTTGTTTGTTGACCATTCATGTGGTCAACCAAACGGGGCCCGCGCACCATCACCCGCAAACAATCCGCTACTCGGGTCATTGCCAAAAGCCGGAGGCTTTCCTCCTTTGGGCGCACACGGGGTTTGTATTTTTATTTTCATTTCATTATAAAATAAATTATTCAAAACTTTTTGATTAATTAGTGTGTGTGTATATATAAATATTTTTAGCCCTTTCAACCTACACAAGCTCCAGTTCCAGCTCCTCTTGCGGGTTGGATGTCAAACCCAAACCCAAACCCACCCGCAATATCTCACCCTGCTGTTTCCGGAAGTGGAATTGGTCTTGGTGGTCCATCTATGCCAGGTTAAATATAGTATAAATTTTATAAATCTAAAAGCACCATGTAATTAATAGTAATAATTATTAGAGTAGACTAGAGTTGTAATATTATTACATTTACAGCTGCTTTAAAGCATCCAAGAACACCACCTACAAACCCTTCATTGGATTTCCCATCTGGGGATTCTGACCACGTGAGCAAAAGGACAAGGCCAATGGGGATAACAGATGAAGTCAACCTTCCGGTCAACGTGCTGCCCGTGTCATTCCAAGGGCATGGCAGCAGTCATACTCAACAGCCTTTTAATGCATCTGTGTCTGTATCTGTATCTTCATCTGCATCTGATGATTTACCCAAGACTGTTGCAAGAACTCTCAACCAGGGTTCATCTCCTATGAGCATGGATTTCCATCCTATACAACAGACATTGCTTTTAGGTTAGCTAGTCAACTGTGTTTAAACGATTTTGACTTTGACTTTGACTTTAGTAGATGTTGATCAACTGACTTTGTGGTTTTATAAATCCGGTGCTTCAGTTGGAACAAATGTAGGTGATATTGGATTGTGGGAAGTTGGTTCAAGAGAAAAATTGGTTCTTAAAAACTTCAAAGTTTGGGATCTTAGTTCGTGTTCCATGCCTATGCAGGTATTGTATGGGGGTGTTTCTTTTTGCCTTATCAACTATTTTACCCATAAAAAAGAAAAAGAAAAAAAAAAAATCTTATCATTTTACGGTTTTACCCTTTTTAGGCTGCTCTTGTAAAAGATCCTGGCGTGTCTGTAAACCGTGTAATTTGGAGTCCAGATGGTTCGTTGTTTGGTAAGTTATTTTTATATCACAACATATAAAAATGTCAATGGAGAATTATTTTTTTTTTAATAATTTTGTACAAACAGGAGTTGCTTATTCACGACACATTGTACAAATATATTCATACCATGGAGGCGATGATGTGAGACAACATCTAGAGGTACGTTTGCTTCCCATTTTTCCAACTAAGATCATCCAAAAAACCAGAAATTGACATTTTTTGTTATAGATCGATGCTCATGTTGGTGGAGTAAACGATCTTGCATTCTCACATCCAAATAAGCAACTCTGTGTGATAACTTGTGGGGATGATAAAACCATAAAAGTCTTCGATGCTGCAACTGGTGCAAAACAATACACTTTTGAAGGTCATGATGCTCCTGTTTATTCTGTATGCCCTCACTACAAAGAAAACATTCAGGTAACTTTTACTTCTTTTGTTTTAGTAAAATACTAAGTTAGAGAAGTTTTGTAATTTTAGGTCTTTTTTGGGTTTAGTTTATATTCTCAACGGCTCTTGATGGGAAAATAAAAGCATGGTTATATGATAACATGGGATCACGAGTTGATTATGAAGCTCCTGGTCGATGGTGCACAACAATGGCTTATAGTGCAGATGGAACAAGGTTAGCGACTTTAATTCGTTTTGCACTACATGATGATTTTACCCTAACAAACAGTTTTCACAATACTCATCAATTTTTACAAATATTTCAGACTTTTTTCATGTGGAACAAGCAAAGAAGGGGAATCGCATATTGTGGAATGGAATGAAAGTGAAGGAGCTGTGAAAAGAACGTATCATGGATTCCGTAAACGATCCTTAGGTGTAGTGCAGTTCGACACCACTAAAAACCGATTTTTGGCCGCCGGCGATGACTTCTCGATCAAATATTGGGATATGGATAACGTTCAGCTTTTAACAAGCGTGGAGGCTGACGGTGGTCTTCCGGTAGTAAATCCAATTCATTTCCATATTATCAAAAAGTCATTTTTTTGAGAATTATCGAAGAATCTAATTCGTTCATTCAAACCCTAAATTGAAGGCGAGCCCACGTATCCGATTTAACAAAGATGGCACTCTGTTAGCGGTTTCCGCCAATGAAAATGGAATCAAAATTTTGGCGAATTCAGATGGTCTTCGATTACTTCGAACTTTTGAGAATCTTTCTTATGATGCTGCTTCCAGAGCCCAGGAACCTGCAAAGGTAATTGAAAAGTAACCAGATTGTAATCGGAAACTTCTTTTTTATGCATCTTTTGACGATATTATTATCATCATCTCCAGCCTACCTTAAACACAATATCCGCTGCTGCTGCCGCCGCCGCCGCCAGCAGTGCCGGAATAGCAGAGAGAGTTGGCTCTGTTGGTTCTATCTCGGGAATGGTCAGTTTAAGAGAATGTTTATTGGTTTTTATGATCGGGATAATGAAAATTCGATACTGTTATGAATTATTGTAAATCTCGTTTATGCTTTAGAATGGAGATACCAGAAGCATGCCAGATGTGAAACCAAGAATCAACGAAGAACAGAACGACAAATCAAAGATTTGGAAACTCACTGAAATAAGCGAACCTTCTCAGTGTCGATCGATGAAACTCCCAGAAAACATGAGAGTAACAAAGGTAAATTATTACGTACAGTATGATCTTTTTTTTCTTGTTTGGAATCTCGTTTTCATGATTGTTTATTGATTATTAAACAGATATCAAGATTGATATATACAAATTCTGGTAACGCTATATTGGCGTTAGCATCAAACGCTATACATTTGCTGTGGAAATGGCAACGAAGTGAGCGTAACTCAAGTGGCAAGGTAAGTAATTTAGTTGATGTTTCAAAAATTGAAATTAAATTAAAATTTTGTTGTTAAATTGAAAAAATTTACGCAGGCAACCGCAAGTGTTTCACCTCAATTATGGCAACCTTCAAGTGGGATTTTGATGACTAATGACGTGGCAGAAACCAACCCTGAAGAATCTGTCGCCTGTTTTGCATTATCCAAAAACGATTCTTATGTGATGTCGGCATCTGGTGGAAAGATTTCTTTATTCAACATGATGACATTCAAGGTAAGTTTTTTATCGCGAAAAAAAACAAAACGAAAGTTTTAGTTTATTAAATATTAAAATATTAAATCTAAACACTTGCAGACGATGACAACGTTCATGCCACCACCACCAGCTGCCACGTTTCTTGCTTTCCATCCACAAGACAACAATATAATCGCTATCGGAATGGATGATTCAACGATTCAGATATATAACGTTCGTGTGGACGAGGTAAAAAGCAAGCTGAAAGGGCATTCAAAAAGAATTACAGGTCTTGCATTTTCACACGTGCTCAATGTTTTAGTCTCATCCGGGGCAGATGCTCAGGTCAGTAGTCAGTAGTCAGTATATGTAAAACATTCAACACCACACCAATTTTTGACTGTAAATATTATTTACAAATTTACCTTTTTTCAGCTTTGTGTATGGAGTTCTGATGGATGGGAGAAGCAAAAGACAAGATACCTTCAGCTTCCACCTGGAAGAACACCCACAGCAACAGCACAGTCAGACACACGTGTACAGTTTCATCATGATCAGATCCATTTCCTTGTTGTACACGAGACCCAACTCGCAATATACGAAACAACAAAACTCGAATGTGTAAAACAGGTAACAATTAACAATTAACAAACTTTCTTCTTTTTTGTGTAAGAATCTAAACAAAAAGTCAAAAACCCTTCTTTTTTATTATCAGTGGCTTGCACGTGAATCATCTGCCCCAATATCACACGCGATGTTTTCATGCGACAGTCAGTTGGTGTACGCAAGTTTCTTGGATGCAACGGTTTGTGTTTTTACAGCTTCACACCTTCGATTACGTTGTCGAATCAATCCATCTGCATATCTTTCTCCCAATGTCCCGAGGTAAAAAAGAAAGAAAGATCCGTTGACTTTAGTCAAACTTCGTTCTTTTTTTTTAATTTTTTTTTTTAAAACTTTTTGTTTTAGCAATGCAAATGTGCATCCGTTGGTGATTGCTGCACACCCACAAGAACCGAATCAATTTGCATTGGGTCTATCAGATGGAGTGGTTCATGTATTCGAGCCGCTTGAGTCGGAAAGCAAATGGGGGGTGCAACCACCGGCTGAAAACGGTTCGACCAGTAACGCAGCGGTTGCACCGGTTGGGGGTTCGGGTGCGGATCAGGCTCAAAGATGACCTCACCTCACCTCAACTTGTTTTGGTGGAACTGGAAGCATTTTTGTTGGTTGGTTGTTTTCAGGGGGGTGAAATGTAAAATTTTTAGTCACATGTAGATCTCTAACTTATCTTGTTTGTGTAAAGTCGTAGGTTTTAAATTGTGGTATGGATGGTCTTAAGTACAAGAATGTTGTTTACCATTGCCATCAATCATCCAATGTCAAATCAAAGTTGTAAAACTTGTTTTTCATTTTGATTTTCCTTGTTTGTGAGATCTTGGTATTTATTATCCAGCTGACATGTTTTCAGATTATTTTTCTTCAAACCATTATTGAAAATATATCGATTTGTAAACAAACAAATTTGTTTATAACAAGTGAACAAATTTGTTTTATAATAACGACAAACATGGCCATAATATTTACAAGAACATTACCCACATTGATTTCTAGACAATATAAAAGGAGATGTAGCAAAGGATGCCTTACAATTTCCACATCCATGAAAGAAAACGCTTCACATTCACCAGACAATAGACAATAGACAATATAGACAATATAGACAATAAACATCCCATAACAATTACATAATAACATCATCCACCTTTAACCCCACAACACAAGAAGCAGACATATTTACAATTCAACAAATCAGGGATGGAGTCCATTCATTCATCATCAAACTTTTTTTATGTACACAGAAACCCATGGAATGGCATCACCTACTCAGGTCTAAAAGTCACGAGATGAGGGAGGTGGGATTCATGGAGCTTCTTTATATCATTTGCAGTTACCTTAGTAGACTCCAAGCTCAATGATTTCAACTTCTTGAGACTTGTTAAATGCTTCAATCCTGCACTTGTTACCCGTGAACTTGATACATTTAAAGACACCAAGTCTGTCAATTCTGCATTCAAATTTCAAACTTCAAACCAATATTTAATCAACAAAACAAGACAGAATAACTGATCATATCACAAAATACCAGATATCATTTCTAGAGATTTATCAGACAGGTGGCTGTTTTGAGACAGATTCAAAAGCATCAAAGATTTAAGATCCTTGATGTTCTTCACACCAGCATCAGTTAATCCCCCACCACAAATCTCCAACGATCGCAACTTCTTAAAATCTGTAACAAAAATTCCTCTCTCACATTATCTATTTTAAAAAAAAAAAACAAAACCATTTTTTTTTTTTTAAATTCAAAAGTGTAGCAAGCATACTGCGCAGATGATTGGTTCCAATATCTGTTATTTTCGCACAGAAAAGATCCAAATGAGTCAATCCAGTCAAACCTACATCACAAGTAGGAATTACAATTGTTAAAAACATTTCTTGGAATGAAAAGTCAAATAGGTCAATGTATGAGTGTAGTTTACTTGTAAGAATTGCAAGTCCTGCATCTGTGATTTGGCGAACATCAAGATTAAGTGATCTGATACACGACAGTTTAGCCAAGTGTCGTAAACCTCCATCTGTAATAACTGTGAATGAAAGATTCAAACTTTCCAAATTCACCAAACCTGTTAAGGATCATATCAAAGTCAAATTCAAGTCAATGCTCAAATAAGATTGGACATATACATATACATATACATATACAGTATATACTAACCAGAGAGATGACGAAGACCATTGTTTCCAACTTCTGTATCAGACAACTCCAAACATTTCAAACGAACAAGACCTGAAACACACACACACACACACATACATTAAATTAACAACATATGGATACATCAATATATAAAGATGTTTGTTAAAAGAATCACCTGCTAAGTGAATCAGTCCTTTATCCCCAATTCTACATGAATCCAGATTCAAGCTCTCCAAATTTATCAAACCTGAATATGTCAAAAAGCTTATGTGTATCAAATTTTGGAAAATACACATGAATGTTAAGAGATTTCACCTTTTAGGTGTGCTAAAACAGCATCTGACATATCATTGAATCCCAAGTTCAGCACTTTTAGAGACTTCAATTCTGCATAAGTTCACCTCCATAGTTATAAATTAATGATTTTTAAGATAAATTAATGAAAATAAATAATAAAGATACAGATCCTTACTTGAAAACTTGTCACACCCATCGTCAGTGATATTAGATCTGCTTACATTCAGAAAAAGCAGAGCAACAAGATCTACATAAAACAAACGAGTCAAATAAAAAAGTCAAACAACATAATGAGATTACAAAAAAAGAAAATATAATGAACCTGAAAGTGAATCCAGACATGCTGCAGTAATAGGGCAGCGTTCCATATTCAGCAATGTAAGCTTGTGTAAACCTGAAAAATGTAAATTTTAATTTACATAATAAAAAAATATATATATCTTTCACTGAATATGTAAAAATGATTAGAAATAATTGAAGTGAACCTTTCAAGAATGTGACACCATTATCCGTGACCTTGCTGCTAGAGATTTGTAATTCTTTCATGTTTGTTAGGTCTGAAACATAAATAAATAATACACCAAATTTAAATTCTTTCAAGTTTATAATAAAAATTACTTGTCTAGAATACATATTAGAAAAACTACCTGAGAGAGGCTTCATATCAGCATCAGTAATGCAATTACAACAGTTCATATTAAGTGCCTCCAGCTTTTTTAAACCTGCCATATAACATTCATTTATACTTGATTATCTAATTCTAATTATTGAATATTAATTATGAGAAGAAAAAAAAAAAAAAAAAGACCTCTTAAATGGACAAGACCACCATGGATTCCAGAGCATCTTTCGAGGTCCAACTTTGACAAATTGACCAAACCTGAAAGCACACTCATTCCTTTTGCACTGATGCTTGTGTTCCTCTTCAAACTCAAACTTGTCAAGTTTGAAAGACCTGAAAAAATAAATAAATAAAGTATATTAAGATTGTTTCCTTCAAATTCAATAAAGAATATCGTTACAAGAGAATACCAGTAATGCATCCAAGCCCAACATCAGAGATATGTTCGCAGAAATTAAGGTTTAAAGCCTCAACATTCTTGCATTCTTTAATATGTAACAAACCAGAATCTGTAACATCAGAACCAGAAAGATCTGTAGAGAGTAAAGACGATCCCTGTGAAGAGATCACATCCATCCACGTGTCATCAACTCCTGGATACTCACCTAAGTTTATATCCTGCCAAAAAAATAATAATAATAACAAATAAAATCATATGCTTATCTGAGAAATCTACATTGAAATCATATTAGATGTATATATACCTGCAAAGCACAATCTAGAAATGCTTCAAGAGAAGCCTCATTAAGGCGTTGAGAGTAAACCAATTCATTAAAAATCTGTTGGCTGATATCTCTTGGAAGCATAGAGAAGGTTCCATACTCATCAATTTCCTGTTTCACACCACAAAATCAGTAAAAAAAAAATCAATAGTTTTTTGTTTATTAGTAGTAAAAGTGATGAAATGATAAACGTACTTGAGAAATTTTATAAATGCATAATTCCATGAGAGACGGGGGTATGGTGTTTCCTTGTTTATTGTCTACAGATGCTCGAGAAAAAGCAGTTCCCAGCCATTTTGAGCTTCCGCTTTTGGAATATCTTCGAGAAACTCCTCCGAGAACAATGTCGTCGTTCGTTTGTTGGTCTCTTTTTCTAGAACAAGCTCCCCCCATGGATGATGGATGGATTCAACGTTATACAAGCTATGGAAAGAAGCGAGTTGCTAAAACTGATGTTGATTATTCAATATTTGAGGACACGTTAGCCTGCGAGTTCAAACAGAAAATCAGAATCAGTTTTTTTTTTTACCTTTTTACCAGTTTTACACACATCCAAACACCCCCAAAATGTTCTATTCAGACATGAGTCCGATCATTTTACATGGAGTTTTTATGTTAAAAGACCACGACCTGAATTGTTTATCTGTATTTTATAACTATACTCAAGAAAACCCCTGAAAACAGATAGATATATGTGATCAAAAATATGAACACCCCTGTTATAAACTCACGAAAAGGAAAAAATGAAAAAGAAGCATGGTTTTTCCAAATCGATAAAATTTGCTTCCTTTATTAACAACCCAAAACAATGATTAAGCAAAGAATCAAGAAGCTTGTGTAACGATCAACGTGGTAGTAAAAAACAAGCACTAAATTAAACAAAATAACGATAATCGAACCTAAAAAAGGACATATATCCGATGATTCGTTATCAAGTAAGCTCATGGAAACCCATCACGATCACGATTAAACGATAATTAGGGTGGGTGAGGGTGAGGGTGAGGGTGAGGGTGAGAGAGTGGGGTGAGGAAGAAGAATGGAGAAGAAGGTAAAAGCGTATAGAAGTGAGGGAGAGAGAGAGTGGGGTGGTGACGAGCCAATGATCGAACCTGCGGATGATGGCAACGTGGAGGCTCGGAGTTTGATGATTCTCTGATCAAAGGAGTTGGGATAAGACTAAAGTTGAGAAAGGCCCCACGTAACTTATAATACCATATTTTATGTTATAATTTAAATAAGATATAAAACTCATTTAACCAAAAAATATCTAAAGTGATAAAGACCTTCTTCTTTTATTAGCTAAATTTTGTTTGCGTGAAAGTTTTGTCTGTGTATATATAGTTGTATTAGAAAATCTTGTGGATGGGTTTTCTTTTGTTTGAATGAATCAATCGAATAATCCAGTTACTGTTTGATAGTTTTGTCAAAAATTATATTTTTAATACAATTGATTGTCGTTTGAGTTTGACTACGTGCCTCCATTCGATTTCGATAACTATTTTGAATGCAAACTTTGGATAACAAATAAGAAAATCTATGAAATATTCAGAGAGAAGGTTTTTTTGGAATAAAAAAATAATATATAATCTTAAATTATAGTTATAAAATAATCTAAATTATAAAATACTTAAATGAAAAGAGTAAATTAAATTGCAAATTTGTTAAAAAAAACTACATGTTTTATTCAAGTTTTGATTTTGTTACAAATTATGTCATCCCCGTCTCATTTTATTGCGCGATTAATCTTTGGATTAACAAGTTGTTTTTTAGTTCTTTTTATTAGGCTATAGCAAATGGTCTATAATGAATTTACTCAAAAAATACGTCATTTCAATGTCATTTCAGTTTCATTACATTTGTATTAATACTTACTAATATTTACTCTACTTAGCACCACTCCACATCATTAAATATTTTGTTTTTTATTTTTTCAAATACTCAATTAATAAAAATACAAGATTTTTAAATGAGAATTAAAATTCCATTCAACCAAATTAAAAGTAGTTTACTAAAAGTGAAAAACAAATTACACTAAAAACATAAAATTAAAAATAACATTATGCTTAAATTAAAAAATACATTAGAACTTAAAAATTAAAAATTACATTAAAACTTAAAATTGAAAACATATTTGTCAGTTTTGATTATGTTAGACTCACATAAATGTGTTCAGTCAAATCTTGGTGAAAATTATTGTGCTTATATTTCCAAAATTCTTGCAAAGTATTATGGGCTACCAACTTGTTTTTGTGTAGGTGGATGAAATATATCATCCGGGTTATACATACAGATAGTGTGACATCTTTATTTTCACGGTCAAAAAATACCGATTTGTTTATGTTTTATTTTAAAAATCAGAGTATCATTTTAAAGAAAAGTGTTACAGAATTTGCTCCCAGAGAAACATGATAAACATATTATCAAAGAATTTTCGAAGAAATGTATTTTATTTATATTAAAACTTTGGGATGTCATTGTCAATACATAAAAATACGCATAAACAAACCTTACATTCATTTACACTAATGATCCACATCTCTTTTAATCTCTCAGTGTAATGTAGTTTCGTATCGACACTTGTGATACAAATAAGTTGAGTGGGCCAGGTTGGGAAACCTGGTGAGCACATAGGGTTTTCAACCCACAATAATATAATTATTATGTTTAATCATCAAACAATCAACCCAATTACTCATCCCCATTACCTTATTTATTCTTAAAGAGCTATCCTAAGAATCATATGTCCTACATTCATCCATTCCTAAGGATCTTCCTAAGGAATAGGCATGAAGTCCATCGTTGTCAGGGTTTATCTAACAAACACTAAGTCCATAGCTGCCAAGGTTCTTAAATTACAACTGGTGAACACGTAGTTCAAAACATCTGGTAAACATGTAGTTCAAAAATACCTGGTGAACACTTAGTTCAAAAATACTTAATAAACATCTAGTTCAAAAACACCTGGTGAACACTTAGTTCAAAAATACCTAACGAACACCTAGTTCAAAAATACCTAATGAACACTTAGTTCAAAAATACCTAATGAACACTTAGCTAAAAACACCTAATGAACACTTAGTTCAAAAACACCTACAGGTTATGAGCCTGGTATTTATAGGCTGATTTTTGGCCTCTCACCCATGGTTGTATCACCTCGTAGCTTCGCCTTTTATAGCTCTGAAACGTGTATGGATGACTTCTCACGTCATGGGAATGACATGATCACATCGTGAGCTTCCAAGAGTCATCCGTGTAACGCCCCGACTCTCGGGTATTAATTTTACAGCTTTATTTTTTCATATTGAAAGATCTACTAGACGAGTTGGATGCCCTGACTCGTCGAGTAGGAACGTTTTTGGCCACGTGTTTAAGTGACCAACTCGATGAGTCGGAGGACATGACTCGACAAGTTAGAGCTGACAGATAAAACCCTAATTTCCAGGATTTTGCATGTGTATTTAAAGGATCCTTTGCTCCCCTTAGCCTCACCTTACAGCCCCTTGTGGGTCTAGAAACCCTAATTTGTGTGTGCAGTGTGCACTCCATTCTTGTGTGGTTTTCAAGCTTGGAAGGTGATTTGCAAAAAGAAGACTTGAAATATAAGAGGGGTAGTGTAACATCCCAAAATCGAGACCCAAAATTTTTTGTTTTAAAGTATATTACTTGTAAAATAGTTGATGGAAAACAACATTTAAAATCCTTTCAAACATAAAGTCACAAATCACAAGTCTCAAAACCATATTAGTAAATAGTATAATATCAGAGTATAATCCCAGGTTTCTCAAATGCGGAATATCATGTGTGAATGTGTGATGCGTTACTACCCCACCGGCTCCCTCCCCTTAGATGAAAAGGTATCTAAAACCAAAACTAAAAACAGTAAGCACAAAACTTAGTGAGTTCCCCCATCATAATCATACCAAATAATGCATCATTTTCGGTATCTTTCAACCGGTAACTGGGAACTAACCTCCTTTTCGGTATCTTTCAACCGGTAACTGGGAGCTACCCTCCCCTTCGGTATCTTTCAACTGGTAACCAGGGACTATTTCACCCCTACTACTACTAACACATATCAAGCATAGTAAACATATCAAGCACAATAATCATATATCATATCAACACTAGATAATTATCACAAACACAATCATCTATCCAACACTCTTACTTGTGGGTCGGAACTGTGGCCATAGACCCACTCTTACTAAAAGAAAACTCACCTCAAAGTCGTGTAGTGTCTGCACTGATCTCGATATGAATACCAACTCTCTTCGAATCCTCGATCCCTACACAACTTTTCTAACTTATCAATCCACACTCGCAACCCTTACAAGGGGTCAACTCCAGTCCAAGACAAAGTCAAGGTCAACACCTTGGTCAATGGTCAATCACCTGGTCAAAGTCAACATCTGGTTAACTCGACTCACCGAGTCCTCATATCCACAAAATGTCATAGTCTCGTCCCTACTCGTCGAGTCTAGCAAGAGCTCGATGAGTTCGCCCTCAACAAAACATCGGAATATCTTCAACCAACTCGCCGAGTTCGTCCTTGAACTCGTCGAGTTCATCTTCATCCATATGAAGGTGTTCAGTCTATGACTCGCCAAGTTCTCCTTGAACTCGTCGAGTCCATCTTCATATGGTTAGGACATTGTCTTGAACTCACCGAGTCTGTTCATCCACTCGCTGAGTCCTTCGATCTTCAAGTCCATGACAAACCCCAAATAGGCTGAGTGTTCCTCCCACTCAACCAAAGACCATTCCCAGAAGATATTTGCAATAGACTCGACGAGTTCATCCTTTGACTCGCCGAGCCCATCTTCATGCTAGTTAGGGTGTTTAGTCATTGACTCTTCGAGTTCCTCATGAATTCATCGATTTCATCGTCATGCAAGGTGATGCTCTTAGTGTTGGACTCACCGAGTTCATCCTTGACTCGCCGAGTCCATCTTCATATTCTTGGGACATAGCCTTAAACTTGCCGAGTTAGTTCATACACTCGTCGAGTCCCATGATTTCTAGGTCCTCAATGAGTCCAGCTGACTGCGTGTTCTTCTAACTCAACTCATCGTCCATAATCAGAAGAGTTTTGGTGGGAAACTCGACCCGACTCGCCGAGTCACATGCAAGTCCTTCTATGTCCAAAACTATACACTCGATTTCAGTGGGTCTTGATGCATTCAAAACATAGATCTGACCTCCTAGGGTCCATAATACATGTAAAGTTCCAAACTTGACGTCCATGTATGGGGTATTTGGCTCAAATGGCCCTAAAATGGAGTCTACAAGATGCATGGGGGGCTTATGGCCATAAAGTTGGCACCTTTATGCCATAAGAACCCTCTATGGTTCCAGATTTGAAGTCGTGCTCCTTTATAACCACAAAATCCCGAGTATGACTCTATAAGAGCTTAGAAAAAGTGGAAATGAACCCTAACTAGAGATCTAAGAGATAGATGGTCAAGGTTGGAGCTTTTTACCTCCAGTGAGTTGGAAATGGGACACAACCTCTGGATCTACTAGCTTCCACTTGAACTCCCAATCTCCTTCTTCATTCTCAAGCTTCACAACCACCACAAACACATAAAAAATGGCTCAAGAGCACTCAAACAAGGTTAGGGTTTCGATTTAGAGCTTTCTGGACTGAGAGGGACAATGGAGGCTGGGTTAGGACAAGATAAGGCGTTTAAATAGGGTGCAAACCGTAAATATTAGGGTTTCATCCAGACAGGCTTACTCGTCGATTCAGGGCATTCGACTCGACGAGTAAGTTCTCCTTCTCGCGTCTAAATTCAACATCTACTCGACGAGTTAGGGCCTCCAACTCGCCGAGTCCCAGAACAAAAGTGCAAAATTTTATAATTAAATTACGTACCAGGAACCGAGAGTTACAAGGATAAATCACAGCTTACTTCTCTCTTTTTGATCTTCTGATTTGCTGCAAATCGAGAGCAGTAAAAGCGAAAGGCGACTTCGGGTTGTGTGGAGATACAAGATGATGGTGGTGATTGCGGTGTTGTTGATGATTTCACCGACGATGTTGGTGTTGTTGATGATTCCATGTACAGTTCCTTCTTGATATCTAGGGTTTGATAGAGGCGATTGGAGGATGATGAAGATCGATTGGTCCGATTTTGGTTTATCACTTTAGGGTGAAGGTGAAGATGGGGGTGAGGGGCTTCGCAGGCGTCAGGAGTGGCTGAGAATGGGGGACAAAGGTAGAGGAATACGTAGGAGGGGGATGCAGGGAGGGGTGGGTTCATGTATGCATATTTATTGTTTTTTTTTTTCTTGTTTTTTTTTATCTAAAAATAATAAACAAATAAAAAGAAAATTAAAAAAGAAATAAATAAGGGCAAAATGGTCTTTTTGTATACAGAAGGACGAAATGTGCAAGTTTTAAACTAACGAAAGACGGTCTAAATTAATTTTTGAAAATATACACACTTTTTAGCATCTGCACCATGGATGTAATTTACCCTTTAATCAATCAATGAGAAACCCTTCAAATTTCTCTTGTCTCTCACAACCTTAAGCTACAACAATGGACATGGTTTGGTTGTCCCCCAAACCCAATTACAATTTGTCCCTTTTACCCAATCCATAAAAAAAAAAAATTTGCTTCTACTTTCACATAAAAATTTAGAAAAGAGTTGTCCAATCAAATATGCCTCTTGAACGGTTTCAAAGCAGACAATCGAATTTTATCATTACATTTTTTTTTTCCATGACAATTTGGTTTACAACTTCTAAACCATCAAACTCAATAGCCTCAAAATTACTTGAATTGAATCAATTGTATCTCAAGCATACATCATATTTCAAGATTCACCAGATACAATAATTTAGATTTACATGCCCAACAACTCTAAGAAAAACAATTTCAAAGAAGAGTATATGGTAAGGCCTACTTGAATTCAGGCAGCTTCCCTGATCTAAAAATGGCGAATTTGGAGACCTGGGAATAAGAAAAACTAATCCCATTTTGATTAAGCAACTCTTCCAGCATCAATTTAGCTTCATCAGGATCATCACTCTCGCATTCAATCTCATAATTAACCCCAAAATCAAATTGAGTTTCATCCAATTCCAATTTCAAACCATTCCACTTATGAACAGCTCTCACATTTCTAAACCCTCCAAGAGACACGAGTTCCATTAGATCAACCCCGAACTCCTCATTCACTCTCTTCAAGATTCTGGATTTCTCGATGGTGGAGAACCGCCATGGCTCCGCGGCGCAAGCGCGGGCGAGGGAGGGGTCTAGGGACTCTTCTTCCTCCTCTATGCGACTGATTCCGGCGGAAATAACGGGTTTGGCTTTGAGGGAGAGGATGGCTTGGGAGTCGAGGTCGTAGAAGCGGAGGCGGAGGGCGGCGAGGTGAGTGGTGGCGAGGGAGAGTGATGCGGTGTCGAAGAAAAGGTTTTGTTGGAGGTGGGTTTTGGTGTGGTAAGGTGAGAGTACATCGGAAAGTTTCTGATGGGCGGTGGAATCCGGCAACCGGAGCTTTACTTCCACTTCCATAATCGTGGAGGGGGAGGCGGAGGGGTTGCTGTGACTGTGGGTGATTTGTGATATCGAAGAGAGTCTTGGAAGATTATTCTTGATCCAACGCGACATCGCGACACATCAATCCAAACGTATTTCCGATAGTTAAAAATATAATTATTTTTTTGGAATACCAAAATTTATATTCTAAAGTACTGTTTATCTTTTTCAGTTTTTTTTTTCAAAGAAATTATTTTGTTTATTTTAGGATTTCGAATGGTATATTTTGTTTAATGTAATTGTTTTTCAAAAAAATGTTTAATTTCATGCACTCATATTAATATAGTTCATATTTTTATGTTTTTTTAATTGTTTCTTAAATTAAGAAAAAAATTTATTTTTCTTAAAATTCCGGAATTGTTTTTTAAATTTCGGACTTGTTCTTGAAATTTCGAAATTTATTTTTTTTTCCCAAAATTCGAAATTTTGATCTGGAATATGAGCAGTTCTCCAGAATTAAGCATTCCAGAGTACTGTTCATATTCCGAAATTTTTGTCGAGAATCCATTCCGAAATTAGTCCAAAAAATATTTTTACTTTGTTTGAAATGTTTTATTCCAGACAAAGCATGACATGACAGGTGTGTTCAATTTGAAAAACAACCTAAGGAAAAGAAAACAATCTAGATATAGGAAAAAATGATACATTTTGTAATATTTTAATTATATTTTAAAATTTATTTATTTGTAATAATTTGTTTATAAATTTATATATGTAATGGATAACTGGGAATAAAGAACTCCCAATTATGGAAATGGGCAGATTGAAATATGATGTGTTAGATATAAGTTTTTTTTTTTTTAAACTTTAATCGCATATTAATTCTTAAAAGTGATACGATTGTGCAATATAGATGGCAATGAAAAAAAAAAAAAAAACCCTTACCTGGTAAAACATTTAATATATATTGCTTCTCTGAAGGAAAGAAGGTAAATATGATTTTAAATTTTATCTTTAATTTATACTCAGTTAGTACTAAAATTATAGTTTTGGTCCCTAAGCTCTATCAAATGATGGTTGAAATATAGTTTTTGTTATAAAGGAATGGTTGGAGTGATACTATATAACATTGGAAAAATAATATTAAGTAAAAGCCTAAAAGAGTATATTGTAATTTGGTCTTGACTTAACATTAAAATTACAGTTTTGGCATCTTGATTTTATATACAGTTTCAATTCATTATAGTTTTATAACGAGGGTTTTTGGTCTTTATTTAAGAATAATGAAATTAAGAAAGGCTACATTACTATGCAAATGCTAATGATATTTTTATAATACTTTTATCATTCATTTTTTTTCAAGCGGTCTCCGTTTGGATGTGAAGATGATTTCATTTTTTTTTTTTATTTGTTTAATTGAACATGTGTTGTGCAATTATAATAGTTTGTTTTTTAGAAATATATGCTTTTAATGATTTTTTATAATTTATTTTCATGTTTGTCTATTACTTTTTATTATTTATTTGATGAAAGATCACCTTTTCTTTTGGCTTTGCAAGCTTGCATATGGTGAGTAACATTGGTGCTTATTCTAGAATGTTTTGGAAGAAATTTGTTTATCATTTACCAAAGATTTAATTATTTGTAACCTTTCTATTACGATGCATACTTATAATAATGTTTAAATATATGAAATAACAACATACTTTTTATTTAGTAAATGATAATATCACTTGATAGTTCATTTGATAATATCAGTTGAAGTTTTTAATCATTTTGATCATTGACTACTTGTATTTGATTTTTATTAACTTTTTTTAAAATTTCCATATATTTGGTGAGAAAAAGTGTGATGAAGTCAATAGCTTGCTATTCAACTTTTTTGCAAATATTGGCATAGTATGTGATTTTTATATTTACTGGTTTCTTAGATATTTATCCTTGTATACTTGATTTTTTAAAATTTATGTTTCAAAGAAGCAACTTAATTTCCTTTGACATGCTTATGCTAATAAACAAAGTAAGATAAATGAGACTAATAAATTGAATATTATAGAAATTGATGTTTAATACATTTAGTTAAAATATATGAATAAATATTGATTGGTCTAATTATACAATATTTCTATTTTTTTTTTTTGTATATTTTATTATATTCTTATAAAAATTATATGATTTAGATCTATGCAAGAGTGTTCATGCATATTTCCTATATTATCTTATTTTTTTAATTTTAAATTTAAAAAAATGTTATATTCATCATAGATTGTCTATATTATTATTTTTTTCATTTTTTCAAAATGTTATATTTCATAATACAGCTTAATCATTTAATCACTAATCTAGATATAAAAATCGTTGTTTATATCTTCAAACTATTATATAAAATTATCTAATTACAAACAGAACATGTAACTATCTTTTAAAATAATTTGTTTGCAAATATATGATTAATTTTTTAAGCGTGTAGTAGACTAGTGTAACAATAGTCGCAATAATCTGTTGGGATTTGGAAGAAACAGACTCCCCCATAAAAACCAACCCAACAAACCTCATTCCAATTCCCAGAATTGGTGAAATCTCGATCAACAAACGAAATGGCTAAAGAGGAGACGTTTATTGGATCGATAGATCAAGGAACAACAAGCACAAGATTCATCCTCTACAATAAGAAAGCTGAAATCATCGGATCCCACCAAATCGAGTTCACTCAATTCTGCCCACATGCAGGGTAAAATCAAATCAAACTATTCTTCTTCGTTTTTCTTTCGTCTTTAATTTTCGATTTTTATGCCTGATAACTCGTAACGATGATAGATGGGTGGAGCATGATCCTATGGAGATTCTCGAAAGTGTGAGAATATGCGTATCAAAGACCATAGACAAAGCCACCGCTAATGGATACAACATTGACAATGGCCTCAGAGCAATCGGAATCACGAACCAGAGAGAAACCACCGTTGTTTGGAGCAAATCCACCGGAATTCCTCTTTACAATGCACTCGTCTGGATGGATATACGAACCAGCTCCATTTGCAGGTTCCTTCTCATCATCTCTTCCCAAATCATTTTTACAATTCGTATCCTTGAATAATAACAGTAAAAAAAATCATCCCTTTTTGCACGTCATGAATTCAACGTTTTTAAAACCGGATTCGATTTTGTATCAGCGAATTGGAGAAAAAGTTATCAGGTGGAAGAACCCATTTTCTGGAAACATGTGGGTTGCCAATAAGCACGTATTTCAGCGCGATGAAACTGTTATGGCTTCTGGAGAATGTGAAGAAGGTGAAAGAAGCTGCAGAAAAAGGCGACGCATTGTTTGGAACCATTGATTCCTGGTTAATCTGGAACTTAACCGGAGGCATAAACAACGGCATCCACGTCACCGACGTGTCAAACGCATCCCGAACAATGCTAATGAACATCAAAACCTTAAATTGGGACAAACCCACATTAGAAACTCTCAAGATTCCTTCATCCATCCTCCCAAAGATCATCAGCAACTCCGAGGTCATCGGTCGCGTCGGAAAAGGATGGCCGTTCACCGGAGTTCCGATTTCCGGTTGTTTAGGCGACCAACACGCAGCGATGCTAGGGCAAGCCTGTAAAAAAGGGCATGCGAAATGCACTTACGGAACCGGCGCTTTCATACTGTTGAACACCGGTGAGGAAGTAATCAAATCGCAACATGGGTTACTGACGACTTTAGCCTTCAAGCTCGGGAAGGATGCGCCCACAAACTATGCCCTAGAAGGTTCAATCGCCATCGCCGGAGCTGCGGTGCAATGGCTGAGGGACAGTCTTGGAATTATAAGCAGTGCGAAAGAGATTGAAGATTTAGCTTCAAAGGTTGAATCGACTGGTGGGGTCTACTTTGTCCCTGCTTTCAATGGGCTTTTTGCACCATGGTGGCGTGAAGATGCTCGAGGGGTTATTATTGGGATTACTCGGTTCACAAATAAATGTCATATCGCTCGAGCTGTTCTTGAAAGTATGTGTTTTCAGGTGAAAGATGTGTTGGGTTCGATGCGTAAAGATGTAGGTCACAGAAATGAAGGGAGGAATGAAAAAGGGGAGTTTTCTCTTAGGGTTGATGGTGGGGCCACTATTAACACCATGCTTATGCAGTTTCAGGTATATTCAAATTCATTCATTAATGACTTATATTTTTTAGACTACTAAACTGCAAAAATGGTCTATGTGGTTTACTTAAAATTATCATTTTTGTCAAAAAAAAAAAAAAAAAAAGTTTGAACTATCAGGTTTAAAGTTTTTATTTTGTTATTTATTTAGTCCAATCTGTCTTGATTTTTTTTTAAATGATTGATTTGCTCTTGTTATATGATTTTCTTTATTTTCTTAATTGTTTTTATGATTTTCAGATTTAATATATATATATATATATATATATATATATATATATATATATATATATATATAATAAAATAAAAATAAAAATAATCTCTCTCTCTCTCTCACACACACACACATACCCTTAGTATTCATTACTTTCACCAACCTTCAACCTCAGTTGAACCTTTCATCTTCTATCACCACCCAAAACCACCCTTCTCCGTCTCCATTCCCACCACCGTGACCATCATCAAACCACCATTCCACCTTATACTACCACAAGACACAACCCAAAAACACAACCCTACAACCCATCATTTTCTCCATCAGATCATCACACCACCATTGAAACACCATCGATTGTCATCAACACATAATGGCCACCAAACCACTAGCATCACCAAATCTGCCAAAAAAAAAAGAATAAGAAATTAACCAGCAGATCTGTTCGTCACCCACTTCTCTTTTTTCTCGCCGGATCTGGAGAGACGAAGGTAAGGGCGTCGTTCAACACATACCAGCGCTAGGGTTTGCTGATGAAGATGACGGAGCTAGGGTTTTCGATAGATGATAGCGGCGTTGAAACAAGAATAACCTATTAGGGTTTTCTAAAAACCCTAAGTCACCGCCGCCCTTCGTCTTCTCTGGAACGTCGTCACCAAATCGCTAGGGTTTGCTGATGAAGCGGCGAAAGATGGAGATAGATGAGGCTCGCCGGAAGAACGGTGGTTTACGGATCTGGAGCTTTGTCGAGTTGCAGCGGATTTTTTCAGATCGCCATAAAAATGAAGGTTTGCAAATATGGACAATGACGACAAGATCAAAGCAAGGTTTACAGATGGATGGTGGTAGCAGAGATGATATGTGCTTAAGGTGGAGTTGAAGGTAGTGGTGGCTGACGGCGACCATGGTGGTGGAGTCGACGATAAGGTGTTCTTGAGAACCTTGAAGAACCTTGAAGAACAAATGAAGAAGGGGAGAGAGAGAGAGAGAGAGAGAGAGAGAGAGAGAGAGATTTATTTTAATTTTTTAATTTTTTATGTTTTTTAAGTCTGAAAAAAAAAACAAATAAGAAAATAGAGAAAATCATATAACAGGGGAAAATCCTTCATTTAAAAAAAATCAAGACAGATTGGACCAAACAAGCAACAAAATGAAAACTTTAGACCTTTGGTGCTAGTCCAAACTTTTTTGGACCAAAGTGGTAATTTTGAGTAAACCACAGGGACCATTTGTGCAGTTTAATCTATTTAGTCAAAATTTAAAATTTAGCACTATTACAAAATAGTCATCAAAACCATAGGTGGTTAAAATGACTTACTGTTTTGTTTATTTACCTACTGATTTGATTTTAGTATATAAGGATTTTTTTTTTTTTATTTTACATTACGAAACCGTAGACGAAAAAATGGTCTATTGTTTCCCAAAAAGTAGATTAAAAATGGTCTATTGTTTCGTTCAAAACCTATGTTTTTTTTAGATGAAAAAAAAAACACTAACTATTACTCTAAAATATATTTTTCTTTTAATATATACTAGGTACGATATAGTAATCAAAATACATGAATTAGTAGTCAAAATAAAAAATAAAATAAAATAAAGAAAAAAAAAAGAAAACCCAAAACCGTAGGTGGTTTTTAGACGAACAGTAGATCATTTTTAATCTATTCTTTGGGAAACAGTAGACTTCTCAGAGGAAACAGTAGATCATTTTTTCGTCTACGGTTTCGTAATGAAAAATGAAAAAAAAAAGTTCCTTATATACTAAAATCAAAACAATAGGTAAATTTGCGAAACAATAGGCCATTTTAATCACATACGGTTTCGATGGCTATTTTGTAATAAGTCCTAAATTTTGGCTAAAAAATGATAAATCATTAATTAATTTGGTTAGGTTAGTAATTTTCCTATATTTTTTTGGGTAAAAAAAGTAAAGCATATTGGTCAGAAGTATTTATTACATTTTTTTTTTTAGTCTGATATATTGGGTATACGGGTGGTGAGGCCGGGTGACATAGAGACAACTGCACTTGGAGCGGCTTACGCAGCTGGTTTAGCGGTTGGAGTTTGGAGTGAAAAAGATGTATTTTCAAATGAGGAAAGAATGAAGAAAGATAAGACATTTAGTCCTGTTTTGAATGAGGAGTTGAGGAAGAAGAAAGTGGCTTCTTGGATCAAAGCTGTGGAAAGAACTTTTGACTTGGCTGATTTGTCCCTCTAGTACAATATTGTTAGCATTAGTTTCTCTCTTATTATTTTAAGTAAAGATACTTCTCCATTGGTCTTCATAGGTTAATGTGTTGGTAGATAATACCCAATAAGAATCAAGTACTAAAAATTTGAGGATGCAACAAAAAGTTTCACTGCACTTCTTGGAGTCAACAGTGATAAACAGGAGCTTTGTAAAATGCTCCATGTTGAGTTGAAAATAAGATGTAAGTTTGATTTTTCGCGAGTGTGTGGTAATTCTTTACGGTTAATGGTCATGGTAAATTAGATCAGTAAAAGATGCGGTTGATGATTTTTTTTCCTATGAAACGGGTATTTTCAAGTATTTTATAAATACACACAACATGTTTCAAAATTTTACCTTATAATAGCAATTTAGTTACAGTTTTAACAATTATAGCAAAGTTAACCTGAAAAATCCATAAGCAGTATCAAATCTACCTTTTTAATTTCTTTATTTTTATATTTTTTTGCTTATGAGTAATCACTAATATCAAGTTATCAACTCATCATTTTGAATCAAAGAAATGTTCAAGCGGGGTAAGCTCGATGAAACTTGTAATAATCATATAGCTTCAACCAATGCTAGGAATTTGCAAATTTGTGCCTATTGATGTTCGTTAATCTTTATTTAAAGTGAACTGCAGGTATATATTTGTGTAAAACTGTTTTAATTAGTGTCATTTTATTGGTTTTTGATGGATATACAGATACCAAATATTGATGTTCGATTACCTTACATAACATATATATCTCAATCACATTAGAGATGAGTAAAACAGGAAATGATTTCATGCATGGTTCAAATATATATATATATATATATATATATATATATATATATATATATATATATATATATATATATATATATATATATATATATATATATATATATATATATATATATATACACACTGTGTTAAGAAATGCTTTAAAATAATCACAACTTTTACTCCACGGTGCTTCTTTTCAAAAATTTATTTCCCAAATATCCTATAAATAAACATTGAATAAGTGTACTCTAAAAGTGCAGCTGCCATTTTAGCACCTTAAATAAAATCAAATTAGTGTACAAAATATGTTTAGTATGAATTTAGGCATTAATTGCAGCTTGCTGTCATCTGTTCTACTTACAGTTATACACATACTTAACTGTCATATACATACATACTTATCATACACACATAACTATTTCAATTTTGATGGAGAAAAGCTGATCAAGGTAGAAGTCAAGTCATAAAATTTACTATATTATAATTGGAAAACTCAAGATTTCTATATCAACATTTTTTTTTTTTTGCAAACATGGAATGGATGTGGCTTTAGACAACAGAAACATGACAACCAATGAATAACAATTTCCATTACATTCCATCCACTAAACACACATTCTTGATACATTATTACATACCATGAGCATTTTTATAAGAAGAAAAACCTAAACTCGACAATGATTGAAACAAAACTAGAAACTAGCTGGATATCAATCTTCATCATCAGAACTATCATCACTACTGTACTCAGTATCACTATCATCATCAATATCAAGTTGCACATGCCGAACCTGTATCGGTTGCGGTCCCTTCCCATACCCAGGAACATGGACCGGTTGCTGTTGCTCCTCAATCCTAGGAGCAACAGCAACCGAATCCAACGGTGGCAAAGCCACCGGATCCCCCGGCTTCCATCCAGCCGGTGGAAGAATCGGTAGATCCGTCGGCAACTGCACCGGCATCCCCGGCTTCCACCCAGACGGCACCACAATATTCGTAGGAAGCATATCCTTAATCGCCAAATTACCCTCCAACACATTTTCAGCCAAGGGCTCAATCGTAAATTTCTCCTTATCGGATTTCGGTAGCCCCACATCCATGTCAGCAAATAAGTACAACTGTGAAGCACGCATCTGCTCCTCCTGAGGTGCGGGGGGCAACGCCCCCCGCAAGGGGGCCGTCCCGGCCCCAAACTCAGGTGGAGCAAACGTTGTGTAACTTATTCTATGCGCGTAAGATAAAATATCGTTTAAGTTTAAATGTGTGGCAACTGTTGTTGTATTTGAATCTTCTTCATTTTCTTCAACTTTGGATCGTTTTAAACGGCGATAATCGGAATAATCATCGACTAACATGTCGAGAACACGTTCGGATTCTTTAAGTTTGTTAGCAAACGCGAGAATTGCGGAATCTTTGGATCGGATTTCGCGGGTAATTTTTTGTTTGGCGTCTTGGAGGTCGAGGATTTCTTGGAGTTCGGTTACGGATTCGAAGAGTTGGGATTGAAGAGTTGTAAAAAGGGAGATGATTTCTTTGGTGGTGGTGGGAATGGAATCGGTTGGGGCTTGGGTTTGGGTGGAAAGGAATGTGGGAAATGAACCACGGAATGTGGTGAGCCATTGGGTTTGGTTTGGGGAGACATCAAAGAGTTTTGTTGTGAGGGATGACATTCTTAAGAGAATTGATTGGGCTCTTTGGAGTGGTGGAAGGAGGGGGAGGAGGGTTAGGGAGGTGGGGGTTGTTTGTAGATTTGGGTGGAGGTTTGGTGGGTGTGATTGTGGGATTTGTGAGGTGAATTTTGGAGGGGCTGGGGTTTGTAAAGATGGTGAATTAGGGTTTGGGAGGCCTAGCCTAGCGGGAGATTGTATCATCTGGTGAGGTACGTTTTGTAGCATTTTTGGACTTTCTTTATGAATCTGTTTCTTACAAAACCAACACAAAGAAGATTTAATAAAAAAATAAATAAAAAGGTTTAAGATCAGATAATAATGCAGTCTACATAATATGAGTTCAGGAAATCATCATGCCAAAGAGAAAATTCATGTATTTTGTACCAATATAATTCGATGCAATTCCCACAGTAAATGGAAGGATCTGGAGGGGGAGATGGGTTTGGTTGCAGAAGGAATATGATCAAATGGGGGATTAGGAGGGTGTTTGGCTAAGCTTATTAAAAGTGTACATACACTTTCAAATTGTTCCAATTATCACATAAGCATCTTAAGAATAACATCTAGGTTCGATTGAAAATCGAAGCACAAACACATATGCAAGCAAACTGTTACAGAACAGAAAAATTAGAGTTTGCAATCCTTCAAACTCACATAATGAGCAATCGAATAGAAAAACTGTTACGGAATATAACTCATCGGTATTTCATTCAAAATCAATTCACATTTCACATTCAAAAAGGTAAACGACTTTCTATTTTACAGCTCTTTTATGAGTTTGTTATGCATCAATTGATAGAATCAAGAAAACAATCTAACAGAAACCATGGAAAAGAAGGAAGAATGAAAGCTAGGGAAAAACAAATCGACATCAAGGGAGGGCTCGACAGCAGGAGAAAAAATCGATAGCAGGAAAAATTGAACAAAAACGAACCTTAGCTGTTGGGTGCGGCGGTCTCCGGCCGGTGGCTTCACAGGGGAGTAGATGACTAACGGCGACGGTCTCCTGCCGGTGGCTTCACATGGGAGGGCTTGCTTGAGGAGGCAACGATCGGAGGGCTTGATTGAGAACAGCAATTGAGGCGTATGTTTGTGTCGATGTATAGGGTTTAGGTCAAGGGATATATTGGTCCGGTGAAATACGAAGTTTTGATATCATAAATGACTTATTAGACATCTCAAACAGCTATAAGGTGTTGTTTGTAAAAGGTTCTTATTCAAAAACTTTTTTTTCGTTTTTTTTTTTAAATAAATTGTAAGCTTAGCTAAAACCCTCAGGTTGTAGGGCTTTTGGACGTCAGAAATACATAGTTTAAATAGTTGAATCACAATAGTCTGTTTCATAACTCAATTACACATAAAAATAGAATCAATAGTTGAAAATATATCTGAATCTATTTCAAAATGAGACTTATGGTTTCTAAAAATCTGAATTAAGAGTTTATCATAAAACACAGAGAAAGACAGTGTAGATAGATACATACTGACGTGAGGGCTGAAGACACCGATGATAAGAGTTAGGAGGGGTGTGTACTGCGTCAATGCATAACCGATGGATGCATTGAGAGGAGCCAACCGCCATTTATGTTGACTCGTTGTTCGTCAAATGTTGATGTTTTGATGTGTGAATCTTAATTTCGGTTTAGGGCAAAACTGATAAGAAACCATGAAAACAAAAACTTGTTCACCGGAGAAGAAAAAAAAACTTCAAGCTTATTTGATGTGAGAAGTTTCATATTAGTATTTGCTTTGCTCCTTGCTCCTTTAATTAATAAATATGTTTTTTTTTAAATCTAATAAAATAAATAGGTTTGTAGATCACTCGGGAAACTATTAGTCAATCTTAACAAAACCTATGTAATAAACCGGTTATGCTCTTAGAATGTCATAAACTTAACACAAACTCATTTATTTACGTGTCGGGTTTGTGTCGTGTATTATATGGTGTCGAAAATTTGCATTCATAATATTGATGCCCTAGGTCGAATGAAAAAAATTTGAATGACAATTGGATCTTATATATATATATATATATATATATATATATATATATATATATATATATATATATATATATATATATATATATATATATATATATATATATATATATATACTGGCCGTTTACCCGCACCAAGCGACGGGTGGGTATTGTTTTTTTTCAGAAATTAGTTTCTACAAAGGATAGTTTCTTTTACACGGTGAATGTTTAGAATACATTTAGAAAGCAATAAACTTTTATTTTTACACAATCTATCCACTTTTAATTAAATCAACAATATTTTAAGTTTATTCCATTAATAAGTCATTTTTTGCCATTAATGTTTTTGAATTATTCCGTTATTTTAAAAGTAAAGTTTTTTATATCCTACATGGTTAAAAGTAACAAAAAAAAATATTTTTTTAGTGATTCAAGAACTGATCACCTAAATGCACATTAATTGCATTCTTTTGTTCATTTTGATATTATGCACTACTGGATTTTGATACTATGCACTACTGGAGAAATTAAATGAATTACATAGTTCAAGCGGTAATAGGATGAGCAATCATTACAACCCATATCTTGTTAAGATATAGAAAGCTCTAACTTTTTTTTCTGTTTTCCTAATTTATTGTTATTTGTCATGAATACAAGCTAACCAGAGCACAACACCATAAAAGAAAAGATAGTATAGCGAACGAAAATGATCACATACACAAAACAACAATTCTAAAATCACATAACGTTTTTTTTTTACTGGGGGGGAGGGTGTTAGTGATATGCAAATTGCTAACAATCTCCACTGTTATGTTACCATATAAATAAAAATTTTAACAGGAAAATACATTCTTAAAAGAAAATTAGCAAGAGGTTGGACCAAGTACAAAGATTTAAAAAATATGATTTTCTAAAATAGGAAATACAACACCATTTAAAAGGACATATGTCTCTCATGAAAGACCCCATAATCCCATCATGGGAAAAAAGGCCAAAATGGTCTCTAATTGAGAGAGACAAAGAAACACAAGAATGGAATCAAACAAAGATGAATTGTTCACATATGGCTCTAATTGCAAGGTATATTAATCAAAATGACTATATTCATTAGTTTAAACATAGCTAAGAAAACCTAAGGCAAATTACATACATTAATCCATAATGTCAATGATAACATAGAAGACATAATTGAATATATACAACAAATGCATATATTAATCAAAATGACTATATTCATTAGTTTAAACATAGCTAAATTAGGAAGGTATGGAGTCAACAAATGTATACATTAATCAGTGCATCCGAATTCAAAAATATGGTTAAAATCATAATAATCTAACTTTGACATTTTTGTCCTCTAAAAAAACTAAAGTAAGTCATGTGTAACAACGTAATTTTCAAAACAAAATTTTCATTTTTTGATCACAACCATTTTCACATAAAATATTTCCAAAATCATCCAACAATAATTATCAAAACATATCGTATCCCAAGATCACAAAAAAAATCAAATCCTTTCTCTAGTATGTACGAATCACGACAGCGCCTTCCCACGGTCCTCGCTGGTACCTGAAACACATAACACAACAACTTTAAGCATAAATGCTTAGTGAGTTCCCTAATATACCACCTACACACATACGCCCTTCCAGGCCATGACCTTCCGGTCCATGTGTCTCAGGAGACTTCCGTCCCAACCCGGTAAACCTTCCGGTCCCTCCCGTGTCGACCTTCCGGTCCATAACTCCCTGACCTTCCGGTCTACATCATAATGCCTTCCGACCCATAACATAATGCCTTCTGGCCCATATCAAGCATAGCGTACATAACACATACAAAACGGGTAACTAATCACATACAATGCATATATCTTATAGCATACCAGACCTTCCAGTCACACATAGGTACCCTTCCAGGTACAGTCTAGTGAGAAGACTCACCTCAGATATCTTAGTAAATCACCGACTCAGTAGAAATACGATCTAGCCTCCGCCTAAACACATAAAGTAATATTCTCATAAATATAACTCTCCGAACTAGACTCTACTTTCTCTAAGCTCCCTCAGAAGGTTAAAAGACCATTTTACCCCTCCTTTGGCTCAAAGGCCCTCGTTGTTGACCAAACCTTCAAAGTCAACAGTCAAACTTTGACCCGATTCGGCGAGTGCACTTGGGCAACTCGGTGAGTCCACCTGTGTCCACTTAACTCTTTAGTCCCATTAAACACGTCGAGTCCATCACTTAACTCGACGACTCCCCAGGTAAGAATCGTAGGGCTACCCCGACTCAACTCGCCGAATCTCAAGAACAACTCGGCGAGTACATACCATGCACAAACTCTATTGACCTCCTGAGGTCAGATCTATTCCTCCAATCCATACATTTGTCCTTCCCAAGCATAATAAACACGTAAAGTCTAGACCTTGACACTCATATATCATCTAGATGGTAACACTTGGAGATTTTAGCCCAAAAATGGCATCCTAAGCTCATAATTCCCAAGATAACTCATAAAGCTCCAAGGGTTAAGGTCTTTGGACCTCTTTGGGTCCATATCCAAAGCATAAACTTGATAAGGGACCAATTGGTCCACATAAACATTCCCAAAGGTGGTTAGAAAACCCTAACTCTAGGTATCAATACCAAAACTGAAGAAGATCCGAATAAATACCTCAAGTTGAAGTCTATGAACTCAGAAACCACTAGAACCACACCTCCTTCATTCTTCTCTTGCTCTTGATCACCTTCTTCTTGCTAAACCAAGGATAGAAAGGTCAAATATGGCTTCTCCTTCCTCCCAAATGATCTATCTCACTTAGGGTGGTCTCAAGGGACTGGTAGCCGCAATGGAAGGCTAAGAGTGCCCTTAAATAGGCTCCAACCCCCGGAGGATTAGGGTTTCATTAAACATCGTAGACTCGCCGAGTCCAACGCGAACCTGGATGATCAACCGTGACCCTACTCGACGAGTCTAAGCATCAACTCACCGAGTTCCTTCACTTATTCCAAAAATAAAATATTAGAATAATATACCTGGGATTCTAGATGTTACAATTCTCCCCCACTAGAATCAAACTTCGCCCTTGAAGTCTCATTCTGCAAACAACTCTGGATGCTGCTCACGCATCTCGCGTTCCGGCTCCCAAGTCAGCTCTGACCCCTTCCTATACTGCCACTGCACCTGCACCAGAGGCACTTTGTTGTTCCTCAGAACCTTGACCTTCCGATCCCTAATTGCCACCGGTCTCTCAACATAGTTCAGGCCTACGTCCACCTGAATATCCTCTAATGGTACCACTGCCGACTCATCGGCTATACACTTTCTCAACTGCGACACGTGAAAAGTGTCGTGAATCTGACCCAACTCCACAGGTAGCTCCAAACCGTAGGCTACCCTGCCTACCCTCGCGATTAACCAGAAAGGTCCAATATATCGAGGCCCCAACTTGCCCCTCTTCCTGAATCGGATCACTCCTTTCCAAGGAGAGACCCTTAAGAATACGAAGTCACCGACTTGAAACTCGAGCTCGGACCGACGTCTGTCCGCATAACTCTTCTGATGACTCTGAGCGGTCAACAACCTCTGCCTGACTTACTGTATCTTCTCAGTCATCTAAAGCACGATCTTCGTACTACCCATTACACGTTGCCCCACCTCTCCCCAGCAAATGGGGGTCCGACACCTCCTCCCATACAATAGCTCAAAGGGTGGCATACCAATGCTCGAATGATGGCTGTTGTTGTATGAAAACTTTGCCAAGGGCAAATATGTGTCCCAACTCCCGCCAAAATCTAGAACACATGCTCGGAGCATATCCTCAAGTGTCTGAATTGTCCGCTCGCTCTGTCCGTCAGTCTGTGGGTGATATGCTGTACTAAAATGCAGCTGCGTACCCAACTCCTCATGAAATTTTTTCCAGAACCTGGAAGTGAAATGCACATCTCAATCCGAGACAATCGAGATCGGAACTTCATGCCGCAAGACCACCTCTCTCACATACAATTCTGCCAGCTTCTCCGCAGAAGAGCTCTCGCTAATGGCAAGGAAGTGAGCGCTCTTCGTCAACCGGTCTATAATCACCCAAATCGTATCGACACCCCTCGCAGTCCTTGACAATTTAGTGATAAAGTCCATAGCAATCTATTCCCACTTCCACTCGGGAACCTCTAACAGTTGCAACTTACTATGCGGTTTCTGGTGCTTGGCCTTGACCCGGTGACAGGTTAGGCACCTCTTAACGAACCATGCAACATCCCTTTTCATACAAGGCCACCAATACTCCTTCTTTAGGTCCAGATACATCTTAGTGGCCCCGGGATGGATCGAGAACTTCGATCGGTGTGCCTCTTCCATCAAAATGGTACGCATCCCGCCCACAAACGGTACCCAAATCCGCCCCTGAAATGTCATAAGTCTCCGGCTATCGGTAACGAACTCCGATACCTGCCCGACAACTCGCTCCCTCTTTTGGTTTTCTGGTCTCACAGCCTCGGCCTGGGCCCCTCGAATGGTGTCCAACACTGGAGTCATCATTTTCAACCTCATATAAACGTTTCGAATCGGGGTGCTCTCCGCCCTACGGCTCAAAGCATCGGCTACG